TTTTCCGATTTGCTGCTCTATTTAGGCCTTTTTTTCTACCTTGTCTTCTAACTCATTGATTCGGTCTTCAGCTTCTTCTAATCTACTATTGAATCCTTCCAACATATTTTTCATATCAGCTATGTCATTGTTTATTTCCTCTTGATTTTTATTTATAGCTTCTACCTCTTTTTAAAGGATGATATAGTTCCCACTGAGCTCTTTATAATTATCATTAAGTTGTTTGTAGTTCTCACTGAATTGTTTGAGCACCCTTAAAATAATTGCTTTGAATTCTTTATCTGACAAATTGCACCTCTTGCCTGCTATGGGTCCTGGAGGATTGACAACTGGCAACTGGTATTGGTTTTTCATGGTAGGTGCTGCTGGGGTGCATGGGTTCAGCTGGCACACTGTTAGGGTGTGTGGGCCCAGCTGGTGTTCAGCTGTAGTGCACTGCTGCCTGATGGGGCTCAGCTCCTAATCAGTTGCTGCTGATGCTGCTGGGGGCAAGTGTCAGGTCCTAGTCTGTGCTGCTACTGCTGCTGCTGTTGCCAGGGGGTACTCTCAGCTCCCAATCTTCTGCTGCTGTTGGGAGCTGAATATGCTCAGTTCCCGGGACTTTGCTGCTGCAGGGAGAGGGGCTCCACTCCAAATTTGCTGCTGCAGTTGTCAGGTGTGGATCTTGGCTGCCCAAGTCTTGCTCCTCATTGTGATAGGGCACCACTCCTGATCAGCCTCTGCTGATGCTGCTGGGATGGGTCTCAGATGCCAATTGTGCTGCTGCCGCCTGGGGATGGATGTCCATTCCAGAGCCTCTGCTGCTGGGGGTGTGTCTTGGCTCCTGAGCCTCAGCTGCTGTTGGGGGTGGGGCTCCACTCCTGCCCAGTCACTGCTGCTATGGGGGGGTGGTGCTGGCTCTGATCAGGCTGCTGCTGTGAAGGATAGCATTCGGCTCTTCACCAGTTGTGGCTTCCACAGAAGGCACCTTGACAGTGCCACTGCTGTCTCTGGTCTGCATTGACACAGTGGGGTCCACTGGTTCAATGGTGTAAGGTGCACTGGTAGACTCAGGTTCCTCGGTACTAGCTGTTTCCCATTACCTCCTCCCAGAGTAGACCAGGGATCTTCCAAAATGTCAGGGTCTTCTGGCTGTTCAGGGAGAAGCACCCTGACAAGCCACTTACCAAGGTAGCCAGCTGCTCCCTGTCCACAGCACAGGAACCCTCTGCCTCACATTTCTGCACTGCTTGAGGTTGCTTGTGCACTCACATTCTCTCTCACACTCACCCTCTCTTTGGTCCTGCCCACTGCCATCTCACATCGGTCTTTCTCTCTGTCTCCCTCCCACTCTATCTGAACAAATATGGGAAAATATCCTCAGGTGATGATTTAAAAAAAGAGAGAGATAAAACTATTAGTACCTGCACAATAGAAAACAATATGCCAAAATATATAAAGAAAATACCATTATTAAAGACAAGAATTTGACAAAATCAATTTCAATGAGACATTCTAGCATGACTTTCCCAGATAATTTCATAACCAATTAGGAAAAAAATTATTATGCTGTAAAAAATTTTAAATAAAAACTTAAAAGTGTGGGTTATAAGATATGTAAAGAGTTTTTCTTTCTAAAACATAGTGCATATCTTTTACATATACCTGTAGACCATTAACAGAAATAAACTAGACTACAGGGACATTTCAATAAAATTTCAAAACCACAATTCAATTAAATACTAACTACAAAAGGAAGGTCTTGGAAAAAAATAACCATCCTAACAGCCTGACATTAAGTATACCTTTTTGAGTAACTTTAAGGTCAAAAGAACATTTAAAAAGTTGTAGATCAAGTAAGGTTATATATTATAAAATCTATTATTCATCCATTTATCACCACTTTCATCTCATGGAAATATGACAGGTATTGGTAATTAGCCATATTACTATTTCCTGATACAACCTCAGAATCATGTTCAACTCAGCTCTTCAGACAGTTCTACAAATTATTTGAAGTTGGCATATGTGATAACACCTCGTTAACAACTTATACTATATATTTCTGTTATCTTTGAGAATAAGACAACGTTGCCTGGCCAGTGTGGCTCAGTGGATTGAGCATTGTCCTATGGACTGAGAAGTCCTGGTTCAGTTCCTGGTCAGAGCACATGCCTGGGTTGCAGGCTTGACCCCCAGTAGGGGGCATACAGGAGGGAGCCAATAGATGTTTCTCTCTCACATTGATGTTCCTATCTCTCTCTCCCTTCCTCTCTCTCTAAAAATATCAATAAAAACATTTTTTAAAAAAGACAGTGATGCCTGTTCTCATATACAAGATTAAACGTTCTGGAAGCTCTAGCTAATACAATAAGAAAAAAAGAACAAAGTTTATACATATTTTGAAAGACAAATGGTTACATCAGTTGCAACATTTTAGAGTACATAGAAATCTTGAGAGAATTAATAAAGTCAGCAATGCTTTTTAATAGCTTCATGTAAAGTTAATATTTTTAAAAATCAGTAATATTCTTATAAGTCAGTAACTAGTTAGAAAATATAATGAAAATTTGATTATCTTTACAATGGCAAGAAGTTATAAAATATCAAGGAATAAACTTATCAAGAAGTTTGGACTTACAAAGAAAACTATAAAAGTTTACTAAGATGTATAAAATTTGGATAAATTGAGACAGAAGAAAACCTCTTTGTAAGTGCTAACATAACAGGAGTCATTATTTTCATGTCTGAGGAAAGAAAGGCAGAATGTAGGATTTTCCTAATTAATCAATGACTTAAAGCCAATTACAATCTACTGATGTTACATGATTAAGTTAACGAATTAATAGACAGTGAGGAAATGATCAGTCAGTACAAGAACTTTTTCATGTACCACTTAAATTGTGTATACCTAAATTCTTACAAAAATATATTCCAGCAAATAAAATTTCCTCTAATATCATTTAGTAAGCAAGCATAACCTCGATATTAAAGGTTATATCCAAGGAAATAATAAACATTGAGTCAAAATGTATCAATAAACATTTTAGAAAGAAAATTTCTAGTACAAAAATTTATAAAAACAAGATACAAAGTGAATATAAATGTAATGTAAAAGGACTTTCACTCTGTCCTGGCTTAATGTTTATATTTTTATTATCTTCAAGGTATCCATCATAAATATTTTCCAAATTTTTTCATTACCTAATAGTTAAAAATGACTAGTCCAAGGCTCAAGTGCCTTAAAGCACTTAAGTCCACAGTTTCCTCTTCTGATTAAAAAATGACTAACATGTTGGTTTCTGGCTTAGGTACCATTTCCAGCCAGAACTAAAATAATGACTATAAAACGTGTAATTTTCCTGATTTAGTCAAATTAAAATGTATCAGAATTTGAATCAGACAATGACAAAAATAGTTTTGTTTTGAAATTTCACAAAACAATTTTAAAGGTTTATCTGGAAATATTAATAGTGAGAATGGGCAAGACAGTTTTTTTAGAAAGTGGAGAACTTTCCCTGTTAGGTGGGAATTAAACATTTAATAAGCCTCCAGTAATTAAAATACAGCTATTGTAACAAAGGAATACAGAGTAAACCAAAGAAACAGAAGGCACATACGTGGCAATTTGATAAATATGACAATATGATAAAAATGGCATATCCACAATGTTGTTCAGCATTGAAACAAAAATGATTGCTCTTATTGACTACAACAATGTCTGCTCAATATTAAGTTTAAAAAGAAGCCCATTACGGAACTGTATTACTGTATAATCCTATTGTAGCTTTTTGTTTGTTACTTTATTTGTGTGTGTGTGTATGTGTGTGTGTGTGTGTGTGTGTGTGTGTGAATGTGTGTGTGTGTGCCACCATGAGTGTTCACTGGGTACTCTATTCCTCTCAAAGATCTTGATCTAATTCCATGAAATTCCCAATTCCATAACCTGTAAAATCCCAGAGATCTCCTTATGATTTCTAACATTCCATAAACTTCCTTATGATCCCTGTCACCTCCTCTTAAATATGCTCCAGTTTCTGGTTCTTAGTCAATTTTACTGAAGATGGGGAAAAAGAGAGCTCACATTATGGGGTAAGTTACACTAGGTTGTTCATAGTTCTGTGAGATCTGATAGCTACCTTTATTTCTTCATTTTTCCACATGTTTCTTGCTTAATTTTTACCACTTTTCTTCAGCATAAAAATTCATTAAGCATTTTTTAATTCTTGAAGCTGCCCTTTGGGTTTCATTCTCTATTCTCAATTAGCTTATCAAATTATTTCTTCTAGGCAAATATAGCCCTCTCCTTAATAGAAATTTCAGTTCAAAATTATTTAAAAATTATACCAATGGTTGTGGCAGTGGAATTACAGGTGTTCAATTTTTAAAAATATAATGTCTGTACTGTACCATATTATTTGAATTTTTCATGGGGATAATTTATGACTTTCATAAACTGGAAGGGAGTATAACTGCACTAGAATTACTTTTAAGAATATACGACAATACTTTAAATTTTTCAATCCTCCATAATAAATGCACCAAAACAAAATTAAACTGGGGAAGTAGATTCATATTAGATTTCTACTGACTCAACTCCCTTAAACCTGTCACACAAAAAACAAACCATTTCTATCTGCACCCCCCACAAAAGCATATGAAGTAGGCTAGTCCATAAAGAACTTATCAACTCACTTCCCTTTCATTCAACCAGAGCTGCTCTGAAAAAATTAGACCTGAGACAATGCTCTAGCTTCACTAGGGCCCATGAAGAGCTTGTGAGCTCTTCACTGTTGCCTATGATCTGAAGCCAAAACAGTGTAGGGATGACCAGTATAGACTTTACTGCACAATTGGAAGTGAAGCTGAGGAAGAATAAGGATGATGGTCGGTGGTAGTAATTTGCAGTATTATCCAGTTGAAACCAAGTCAGGTGGCCTCTCTGTAAAGTCACTATACTATTAAAATATTTTCACCCCTGGTAAAATTAATTCTTCATATTTATTTCTTTTAAAAAATAGGTGATATAGCTGGATTGTCGGGAGTCTTTACACTGGCTATTATGGGACTTTTTTTAAATTCTACAAGTTTTAAACCAGGAGTTGAAGCACTACTTCTTGAGTGAGTGGCTAGCATCTTTTCACTTTGTTTCATACATTAGAAGCCATAATATTGAAATAGCAACTACATCTGCATCTACATGGTCCAAGTTGGAACCACCCAACTGAAAACACTTCCTGGAAACTCTGCTGCCTGTGTCTTCTACTTCTCTAACTTTAGGCACAATTTGTAAATTCACTTTGAGTTCATGTTGGCTCTATTCCCCCACGAATTCCCTCACCATATAGTTAGTAATTTCTAGTCTCACCCACTAGACACCAGGACTAAGTTAGAACAACTGAGGCACTTGGTATTCATTTCAGGCACATAATTTTAGAGGGTGCCAAAAAACTCAATGATCAAGATAAATATTTTAATGCAGTAATTTTGGGAAGAAGCTAGTACAAAAAATCCATAATGAAAATACGAACATTTTAAATAAAGATAAGATCAATATTACTAATAGTTCTTTTTGCCTCAGGCTCCAATAGGGCTTAGTATGGCACCGATACTGGAGTGGAAGACCAATATTTTAAAGACCATAAAGAGATGCCACACAAATTGTGTAATCATTAAATGAGTAGTAAAGTATGATAGTGATTCATACCACTCCCTTGACTTAATTATCCTACTTAATGTTTACAGGTGATTTCCTTAACTGTATGGGTAGGTGGATATGCTGCTTTGAGAAAAAAATGTTGGGGAGGTGCTTATGTTTGTGGTACAACCATTGGATTTGTTTTTGATAGGGAATTCAAAAGTAGAATAAAAAATAGAAAAATTACACAATTGTCATAAAATATATCTTAGTGTGTTTCCCTCCAAGTTAATGCTAGATGCAATATTTAAATACAGAAGATGACAATTTAAAATATCACCACACATATACAGGAAAGGGATAATAGCTTTCAGCACAAAATAATAAGCCTAAATTCAGTCATAGAAAAAATATTTTGAATGATTTGCCTTAATATTTCCTAGGCTAAAATGTTTTATATTAAAATTTTCTCTGATAATGCCTAGGGATTTTTACCTCTTAGATATAATTCAGAAGCAGAGATTTTTTATTAATGTAACAGAGAATTAATTAAATTTGTTTTTAAGCAAAAGCAGTGTCCTTGAAAAAGAGTGAAAAATGATATTTAAAGGGTTTCAGGCACAGTGTTTGACTGCATATGGGTAAAACCAAGCTACCTTCCTCTCATAAAATTGAATACATGTGCCTTTTTAATATTTTCAGTTAATTTTGTCATAGTTGACATTAAAGACATGAAATATATAGAAAGACAACATGAAATTAGTTTTAGATAGCCTCCTATAGTCCCAACACCCATATTGGATTTGAGTGTGCTTTTTCAAACTGCTTTGTGTGAAGCTGAAGAGAACACAAGCTTTGGGGATGACACAGACTTTTCCTGGGCTCTGGAGCACTTGAATAAATTCATGCTCACAAATCTCAAAATGGGAATCTACAAAGGGCATTCATGAGTAAAATACTCATTCAAATCTTCTAAGTGCTTTCTAGATTTTAGGAAAAGGCTTCATTGTCTCACTATGCAAATCAGACTAGCAGTTCAGTATTCCCTTTCAAGATCAATGATTTTAATTCTTTTTATTGACACAAGGGCTTCACAGTCAGAATCTTTGCGCTGTATGAAGCATGAGAACAGAAGGAGTTCTGTCAAAATATTATAACTACAACCTGAACATGACTTTCAAGGTCAATTAAAAAAGAAAGACCCTAATTTACATTCAGTGTAGACTACTTAAAATGGCTTTACAATTGTGTGCTCACTTGCCTTAGTACACCTTTCTCCCCAGTTAAATTATCAGCCCCTTGAGTGTTGATAAATATTTCACTGATCTTTACTTTCTTGATAATGCCTAACATAATGCCTCACTCATAGATGAGCCTTGCAATAAATATGGTAATTAATCTTAATGAACTCTATTTAATTTTTTCCTGAAAATGCAGACTCTGGAATTGTCTAGCATTTGTTGCTTTTCTTATGGTGTTTACGTTCACTGGACTTCTAATTCCTGCATATACATATTTATATGTATCATTTTCTGATATATACTATTCATTAAATATCTACTTCACTCTTATTGTTATAAGGTAAGGATGTTATTCAAAGTTTTTTATTTATAAGACACTGAATAAACCTGAAGATGTTCTTTGTTGTTGTTGTTGTTAATCCTCGCCTGAGGATATTTTTCCACTGATAGAGTGGAAGGGAGAAAGGGACAGGAAGAGAGAGAGAGACATCGATATGAGAGGGACACATCAATTGGTTGCCTCCTGCACGACGCCAACTGGAGCCAGGGATTGAACCTGTGACCCAAGTATGTGCCCTTGACTGGAATCAAACCTGTGACCCTTCGGTCCTCAGGCCAGTGTTCTAACCACTAAGCCAAACCAGCAGGGCAGTGAAGATATTATATTAAATAATAAAAATGTTTCGCTTCTGCACGGCCTGTGTGGCTCAGTGGTTGAGAGTCGACCCATTAACCAAGAGATCAACAGCTTGATTCCTGGTCAGGGCACATGCCCAGGTTATGGACCAAATCCCCAGAGAGGGGCATGCAGAAGGTAGTCATTCTATATTCTCTCTCATCAATGTTTCTCTCTCTTTCCCTCTCCCTCTAACATAATAAAGGAAAAAAAATGGTTTTTAATGTTTCTCTCCTTAGAATGAAAATTTGATTCTTAAACTTTCCAAGAAATTATCAGCAAATTAGTGTTTAGGGTTTTGTTTTGTTTTTCCAGTTTGTAATTGTGTTTCAAAGCAATGCAAGTCCTATGTAAAATCTGAAGATTAGAAAAAATACATATATTTATAATCTTACTTCCTAGAGCTGAGGTTCTCAACCTTCCTAATGCCATGACCCTTTATGGTGATCCCCCACCATAAAATTATTTTCATTGCTACTTCATAACTGTAATTTTGCTATTGTCATATCTTAGGCGACTCCTGTGAAAGGGTCATTGGACCCCCAAAGGGGTCGTGACCCACATGTTGAGAACCGCTGACCTAGAGGGAACCACTATTAACATTTGGTCCCTTTTGTCCTGCGGTTAAACACCTGTCATAAATAAAAGTTTTTTTCCTGCATTCGTTGCTTAATATTGTTTAACAAGTTATTTTCTACCAATCATAGTTAGAAATAGAGTTTTTAAATCATAGAAAAGTCCTCTTTGTAACTGTCTTTTTGCTCAAATAATTTTTGTAGTCCCTTTTCCAATGTGAAGAGGCAGAAAATAGTCTGCTCTGTGGTGAAAAAGAGATGATATAGAGAGGAAAAACCACCATACCTGGAGTCAGAATTCTTTACTCTCCTATAACTGTCAGCATTCTACTTCCATCTAGAAAAATTATTTGGGAGTTGATATCAATTTAGCTAGTGCTAAGTAAATGAATATTAGTCCCAAATCATCAGCTACAATTAATATAAAGTATAGGAATGTTATGTAACTGAAAGAAGAAAGAGAAATGAGTTAACAATACTGGACAGATTTAGCAAGATTTCGGTATACAAAGAAAAAGAAAGAGACAGCTTTTTTTTCCTTTTTATTCATTACATTTGTTTTTATTTCCTTTTGGGATCCCAGAGCAGAATATACATCTGCAAAACATCTCTAACTTTTTCTTTTCCTCCTGAAAAAACTCCACTCAAAGGAGATCTGGAATTTCCCTATGGCTCCCCCAACAGGAAGAAACAAAGATTAATGCCATTCTCTTGGCGTCTCTCTCTATGGAATGCTCTCTGCTTTCCTTTGCTGCTGTGCCAACAGTGCATGAAAGATGGCTTGTTTTTCTGAGAGTTGGCAATTCCACTGTGAATAGATGGGAAGGAATAGAGTAGGATGAAATGGAAAAAAGTTTCTATGATAAGAATAACTTTTAAAAATTGGTTTAGGCCTGGGCGGTGTGTCTCAGTGGTTGAGCATTGACCCATGCATCAAGAGGCCGCCAGTTCGATTCCCGGTCAGGGCACATGTCCAGGTTGTGGGCCAGATCCCCAGTGGGGAGCATGCAAGAGGAGGTCAATCAATGTTCTCTCTCATTGATGTTTCTCTCTCTCTCTCCCTCCCTTCTTCTCTCTCTAAAATCAAAAACGAAAAAAAAAATTTTAATTTGTTTTGTCTTTTAGACTTCTGGTCTTTCTAATATTGAGCCCTTTTTTGTCTCGACTTGCTGATGGGTTCAGCTGGCGCTGGGCATTCATAATGGCCTGTAGCGAAATGAGAGGGGTGCCCAGTATAAACATGGCCATTCTGCTCGCCTACTCAGAGGTTTCTCTTGTAACTGAGAGGGAAAAATCGCAAGTAAATAAACCTGTTTTTTTTTTTTTTTTTTGAATACTTAATCAAAACTGTTGCTGTGTACTAAAATATGCTTTATAGTGAGGTAGCTGAACCCTATTTGGACTCTGGGAATAATTGAGCTCTGATGGCAAGATTGGGCAGAGAAGGAAAAACTGGCAACTTCCCTCTTCCCCATTCTAGTTAGGGATCCCTAAATCCCTTCCTCACATTCCTCAAGATAATTTATTATGGAGGTTGAGGGAATTAAAATTTATAAGTCATTTCAAAATAGTATCTGATATAGAGTATGCACTTAATACATGTTTTTCTTTTTACTTAATCCTAATCCCCACTCAAGAAAAACAGAAACCTGCTTATGATTGGCTCTTCTGCCTTCTGTAACTTTTTGAGTCTACATTTAGTGATTCCAGGAAACAAAACATAAAGTTATGTCCAAGGTAGTACGCCCCTAAGTCTCCCCAACAGAATGTAATGGGCATGACTCTCCTTCTACCTCATCTCAAGGTAAGATCTCTGTAGAAAATGTTTTACGCAGACAACACAATGCATCTTCTACTTCCACTGTGGTTTTTGACATGAATTCTGAGTATAAGGGAATAAGGGCAAAGTGATTATTTCATGTCTAATTAAATAACAGCCCAAACATTTAAAAACTAAATATTTAAACACCGCTTTTAAAAACAAAAGTATCTAACATTACATGGCCTCCCCTTCCTTTTTTTAGCCTGTCTCGACCTGCCTGAATAATCAAGATCAGTGTCATTACTATACCATACATTCTGACCAGTATAATGGTGAACACTGAACATGAATCTAGATTCTGAAATTTTTAGTTGGATGCTATTTGCTTTGTGGCCAGTAGCAAGTTATTTAATTCCCAACCTCATCCTATATGTCAATTTTCACATTTTAAAATAGACTTAATAATCATACCAATGGTTTGTTAGTAATTGTTTAAGTAACTTTCTCTGTTGGGAAAGCCCTAATGTATAGTATTTGCCAGATTTCTGTCGTGTGAGCATTCTCACCAAAAGAACATCAATCGGCTCATAAACTTCCTGAAAATGTAATGATCTGCTCTCATGAACTAGTAAGAGCCAGCTCTAGCATACCATTATCTCAAAGGGTTATTATGAGAAATTGACAATATAATTAAAATGCATAATATATTGTTTAACATATAGTAAATGTACAATGAATATGAGCTTTGATGGTGATGATAATAATGCCATGTAGACCTTCTTTGAAATGAAACCTTAGCAAATAAAATCATTTAATGAAATGTCATCACTAGTAGCAACTGGTTGAAAAGAAAATAACACTCCTTCCTTATTTTAATTTGACTGAACCCTATAGCTAACATTAATACTCACGAAAAGGGACTACAGTAAAAAGTTTAAAGATACTAACTTAATCCTGTCTCTGCTACTCACAAGTTAAATGACCTTGGATAAGCAATAGTACCTCAGTTTTCCATCTGTATAATTGGACCATATTGATGTGTGCTTCATAGAATTATAATGAGTATTAAATAAGCCTGATCTATTGTACAATATGCTTACTATATAAATGTTCGCTCTTAATACAACTAAACTATATACTCAGTGATCCTCAAACTTGAATGCAATTTAGAATGTTTCAGAAACTTTTAGAAAAATACCATGCCTATAGAATTCTAGTCCTGGGCATGATGAATAATAAATATCAGACTTACTTCCCATGGAAATAACCACAGAATTGGTTAAAATATATGAAGCAACTGATTTTAGTTATTGGACAAGGATATTGCATGGTTAGATCTTTGAGAGAATAATAAAGATTTTAGGTAAGTCACATTCACTCTGGCTTTTTTCCAAATTGTGGCACAAAGAAGTGGAGGCCAAATAAAGAACAGTAGTCTCATTGCAGGTTAAAAATAAAGTTAGGGCTACTGAAGCAGCTTAAATTTGTGGGGCAGAGTGCCAGGGAGGGAAAAAATATAAAGAGAAAGAGCACCAGAAATCTGCATGGGGATTCTGTTGGGAATTGGAGAAGGACTGGCAGAAAAGAACCTCTAGGGAGCTTTGGACATTCTGGAGGCCACGCAGAACTGACAGAAACCAGAGTTCTAACTAGGTACAGTGGAGACCTCATGAACACCACATTCGCTGTCATGACCTAGAAAGATCATGCCTCAGAAATGAGAATTATGCTCTATATTAAGGTTTACTCTAGACCTAGTCTAAGAAAGACTAAAGCCATGCCTTGGAAAAGAATTTGTCATTTATTTCTAAAAATTATACATGTAGCAACCACACAGTTCAGCAATTGCTCTCCTGAGGATTTATCCTAGAAAATGAAAACTTACGTATACACAAACCTGTATATGAATGTTTATAGTAGCTTTATATATAATAAACAAACACTGGAAACAACTCAGATGTCCTTTAACAGGCAGATATTTAAATATACAGTTATACAACTGCACCATGTAGTACTATTCAAGGAACAAACTCTAGATAAAAGCAACAACCTTGATGAATTTCCAGAGAATTTGCCTGAGTGAAGAAGCTACCCACAAAAAAAAGTACATACTATATGATTATAATGATATAACATTTTTAAGTGACAAAATTATATAATTGGCAAACAGATTAGTGATTGCCCACAGTAAAAAGGAGTGGGGGAAAGAGGGAATTGAATGTGCCTGTAAAAGGCAACATGAGTAATTCTTATGGTAATGGAACTGTTCTGTATCTTGACTGTGATAGTATCAATATCCTGATTGTCATATTCTACTATAACTTTGGCAAATGTTACCATTAGGGACAATTAGGTAGATATTACAGAGGATGTCTGTGTTATTTCTTAAAACTACAATGATCTCAAAATGTTAAATTAAAAAAAAAAAAAAAGGAGAGAGGGAGACAGAGACCAAGAAACAAACAAATTACCAATATCAGTAATTAAAAGGATAACATGACTGAAAATTATATAGTTATTGAAAAATAGTAAATAGAAACTATGCGTAACTTTATATTTAAAAAATTTAACTTTTTATGTAAAATGGTTAAATTTTTCGAAAAACACTACTTACCCAAACTGACACAAGAGAAAATTGAAAATCTGAATAGCCCTATATCTGTTAAAGAAATTCGATATATAAATTAAAATTTCTCACAGAGAAAAACTAGAAACCCAGATTGCTTAATTGACAAATTCTACCAAATATTTAACAAATAAATAATACCAATTCTATGCAAACTCTTCCACAAATTAGAAAAGAATGGAACACCTTCTTATTTTAAGTGACTAACCCACTCTGATATCAAACACCAACAAAGATATTACCCAAAAAGTTACTGATTATAGATTATGCAAATCTTTTAAAAATAGCTTATAAATTTAAAATGTATAAAAATAATAATCCACTATGAATGGTTACGTTTTATCTAAAAAAGTATCTAAATATATTAGTTTAACAACAAAAAAATATGCAGAAGTTAAAAAACATGAACTCATAGAAAAAGAACATATCAGTGTTTGCTGAGGTTGGGGATGAGAAGTGGAAGAAATGGGTGAAGTTGGTCAAAACTTACAAACTTCCGGAGAAGGAAAAATGGCGGCGGAGTGAACGGAAGCTACACAGACCATCTCCCAGAACCAAACTGGAATTACAACTATAACACAGACAAATCGATGGGAAAAACCAACAGAAAAGCAGCTTGGGAGGACCATATAACGAGGGACACTGACTCCATCCTGGTAGGCTTGCGAAGGTGCGAGACGGGGGCTGGGAGCCCACGGTCGGCAGCTTGGCAGCGGCCTTAGCTGGGAGCAGCGCCCTCGGGTTACACTCCCAGGTGACTCCACAGCGCAGAGCCGGGACAGAGACTAAAACAGCCACAGCCACTTACCTTGGGCTCCGGCAGAGGGGGGGCAGACTAGACTGGAACTGTGTCGGGACACTCGGGATTTGGAGGGCACTCAGAGCTTTTGCTGAGTGGCAGCCACGCAGGACGGTAGCCATATTGCTCCTTCCCAGGGCTCTGAGGAGAGGCAGCAGCCCCTCCCTCAGAGATCCAACCCCACCCTGTGGGCCATTGAAGTGCTAATTGAGGCTCATTAATAACCAGCATCTACCCCACCCTCGTGAAATCCCCTTGTGCCAAGCACCTGAGGGAGTTTTTCAAATAACTGACAACCCAAAACTCATCAAGTAACCTCGAATGCTAGCCTCCAGGCAAAAAGCTAGAGGATAACAGTACCTTTCCTGGACTAGCAACTTTAACCAGGAAAGTAAGACTGGACAGTGGTGTTTAACGTGGGTCCTCCCTCGCTCATCTAAACCCAGGAGAGGGAGCCACAAACAGCAGAATACCAACACCCACAAGGAAAACTTGACAGGCTCCAAAGCCCACAGTGATAGCCAAAATGGTTAAACACAGAAACAGAAGCCAAATGAAAGAGCAAGACACCTCCACCAAAGATGAGATCAATGTGGAGCAATTAGGCATGTTAACAGAGCAAGAATTCAGAGCCATGATCTTGAGGAAGCTGAACAGCATGAGTAAGGACATAGAGACACTGAAAATAAGCCAATTGGAAATTAAAAACCATCAAGAAGAGATAAAAAATGACATATGAGAAATGAAAAACACATTGGAAGGTTTAAAGAGCAGAGTAGAGGAAGCTGAGGACCGGATCAGTGAATTAGAAGACAGGGTAGAACAAATCAACCAATCAGAAAAACAAAAGGAATAAACGATTAAAAAACAGGAAGACAGCTAAAGAGAACTGTGGGACAACTGGAAACATAATAATGTTCACATCACAGGAGTCCCCGAAGAAGAAGAAAATGAGCAACGGATAGAGAATATATTAAAAAAAATAGTGACAGAAAACGTCCCTAATTTGGTGAAGAAGGCATTCAAGTTCAAGAAGCATAGACAGTCCCAAGTAAGAAGAACCCAAACAGGCCCACACGAAGACACATAGTAATTAAAATGCCACAAATTAAA